ATACCAACGGAACACCTCGGCTTGTGGATTGTTAAAGATTAAATCAATCCTTGCTTCCTAGTGTTTGTTAAAGATCACTTAAAAATTCTTAATTCGCCTAGCCTTTAACCACGACATAAAGAGATAAGTGTGGATTTCCATAAAATATAATTCTGTAAGTTAAAGTATGGACATCATTTATATAGCTAGTCTCTTTAATGTTTTGTTTTTGTTATACTGAGTAATAATTGGTGTTGACACTACAGGATGATAGGAGCAATACGTGTATTGTGGGCATTAAACTTTTTAAAGTTTGGTATTTTTAAAATGAAAGTGTTTTTGCTTTTTGACAAAGTTATTGTACATTATTTTAAAGAGTAAATACAAGGAACCAATTAATTTGAGTCATTTCAGTGCTTTCATTTTAAAGACAAAGGAAACTGAAGACACAAAATGTTTATCCTCACTGATTTCCCCACATATATTTTAAGGGGGGGGGCGGAAATGCAGGAGCAAAATGGTACAGCGGAGTTGCAGAGACCAGTTTGATTATAGTGAGCCAGTTTACTTGCAATTAGCAGGCAAAATCTATCGAAAAAGGAACTAGAACAGAACTTTGATTCAGAGTTTTAAGGTGAATAATTTGATAAATACAAAGTTGATAATTATTCATGAATATAGAGCTAGTAAAGATATTTAATAATTTAGTTGTTACTTAGGCTCATGTTTTTGACACGCATTGAAATGAGTTTTTAACTCTCATTAAACAGTTATTTCTCTTTTTAACGTTTGAAATTTTTTTTGAATTAGCCATTTATGGGTATTTGGGCAAATCCTGTGTGTGTGTGTATGTGTGTGTGTGTGTTGCTGAAATGGATCATATGCAAATGAAACATTGTCTTGGTATATGTCTATAACCATCTTGGAAATGTTGCTTGAACTATTGAGAAAAAATGGTAGTATATTCTTTGTTGTTGTTGTTAATCCTAACCCGAGGATTTTTTCCTGTTGTCTTTTTCCCCTTTTTTAGAGAGAGGGTGGAAGGGAGGGAAGGAAGGACGGAGAGCTAGAGAGAAACATTGATGTGAGAGAGACACATAGATTGGTTGCCTCCAGAACTTGCCCAACCATGCCGGGATGAATTTCAAGCCCACATATGTGCCCTAGTCCAGGAATCAAACCCACCACCCTTTGGTGCTGCTAACCACCGAGCTACACTAGCCAGGGCCATAAGTTTATTCTTGAAAGTTTAATACTGATGTTTGATGTTATAGTCAAATGTATTAAAATGAATATATTTTATTAATTAGGTTGTTAGCACTTTGCAGATAAGGACTGTCTTGTAGTACTCTGGAAACTAATACCGGGGCAAGAATAAAGATTTGATTCTGTATGGATACTAGAGTTTCTGTTTATTTATAAATAGTGAATGCTTTTAAACTGCAAACTGACTTTCTAGAGATGGAAATATGTTACAATGGTCTGAGATGAGGAGGAACAAATTTTATGATATGCTTGGTACTAGACTTTCTAGTGAAAAAAAATTCAAAATTGATTATTTCTTTAAAAGGTGAGGTATGAAAGTAACACTGATTTACACTAGAAGGAGTAAAGCGGTAGTCTCTCAATGCTGTTTCTTGATCTGTGTTTCAGGTCCAAGAAGATTCAGAAATGGACACTATTAATCAGTACATGGTTTATAATGATTTTAAATACTGGATATTTTAATATCTCATTAGTATTAAAAATGTCTTATGCTTGTCACTACTCAAATATAACTCAAAGAGTATTTCATTGTCACAAACTATTAAACTACTCCTTCTTAGTTCCCATGTAGAATGAACATGAACAAGATTGTAAGAATTTAGGAACTGTAGAAAAAGAATAAATGAACTAGGATTGTTTAGTTTAGGATGAATGAAAGATAACTTAATCTTCAGATATATGGTGGTTTTTTCTGATAAGACAAAAGGAAAATTTGGAGTTATAAAGAGAAGTTGTGGGTTATGGAATACTTTCTTTAGAGATATTTAAAATAGACCTATTATGAGTAAATAAACAGATAACCAAATCATCAAAGTCTCTGCTTTATTTCCCCATTTTTATTAAATGTCATTCATTTACCAATTATTTCCAATAGTCTCATGTGCGAGTATGTTCAATGGCAATACATAGCTAACTTTACAAATTAAACTTTGCATGTCATTTTTGTATAAATTCTAGTAACTCAGTACGTTTAAGGTAACTTCAGAGTGTAACTTTAGTTTGCATTTAGAGTCATTTAAAATGTGTATGATATTTTCGTTTCAATAAATTGCCAAGGAATAGCCCATCAGCTCAGTGAGGTTTTTAGATAGGAGACAATGATTTTAGTTGTAGAGCTTCCCTTCCATTCCTACTCTTAGAAATCTTTGAAGTTTTATTTAATACGGTTCCTTATGCTTATACTAACAGAAAACAACCTTATAATTACATCAGTTAATGTAAATGGGCACTCTTAATCAGTATGAATTCCAAATTGTTTAGTATATATTTCCTAAAGAAATTTTTACATTATTTTAATATTAATTTTAGTTGTGCCAAAGTGTTTATCACTAAAATAAGGTATGATTACATCATCATTTTCAGGAAATAAAACCAGAAAGCAAAACTTTTTTAGTGTTGGTAAATTGATGAAAATAAGGACAGAAATAGTGGCATTAAAGCATGTTTTTCACATTTTAGTTGCTTAAAATCTAGAGAAGCATTTTTTCCTAATTTGAGCCTTTTCATAAGTGTTTATAATCACTTATACATTGTTAGTGAACCCAAGATTAATGTACACTACTTGGCCAAGATGATCCAGAGCTTTAATCAATCAGTGATTCCTTTCCTTCCTTCCTTCCTTCCTTCCTTCCTCCCTTCCTTCCTTCCTTCCTTCCTTCCTTCCTTCCTTCCATTTATTTTTATTGACATTCTGACTTTATTTTTTTTCTAAAACATACCATTTCCCATTAGCACATGCAGGGTATTAAATAAATGGTCATTTTTACAAAATAGTCGTGTGACAACTGTTAATCTTGCTTGCATATAAGAATAGTAAGAAAAAGTTAGTTTGTCTGACCCTGACCTAAAAAACACATGCTATGTACTGTTTAAGTACTTACACATGTTAACTTGTTTACTTAGAACCACAATTCAAGGGCACTAGAATGTGAATATGCCATACTTCATATTTGACTGAATGGGAATCCTAGGCTCAAAGAAGTGTTCACACAGTGATATATCTAAGATTTGGACTCAAGTAGTTTGGGACTTTAATTCAGGCCCTAAAATCACTGCACTACACTACCTCTTATTTTAAAAATACATTTAAAATGTAGTTTCACTTTAAAAAGAAAAAAAATGACTTTTTTCCCTCTTTAAATGGATCTATTTTATTTTAGTGGCTCAGTATAACATATTATTCCCCCACTCATCTCTTGTGAATCTTCAGTTTAGATATGACAGAATATGTAGACAATCTTAATATCTTGCTTTTGGAAATTAAAATATGTTTAAAGATTAATAGATGATTAAGTGACTATATAGAATAAATGTTATTTTGATCCAAAAGTGCATTTAAATTAAAGAAACTGGGATCATTTATTGATGAGATTTTGGATTTTAATTGTTTATCAGTAATTATAAACTTTTATTAGGGGACATGTGGTTCCTTGTCTTAATAGTTTTACAGAAATAACATATCAGGCAGATAGTAAGGGATTGTAGGATATTTTGTTTTAGTACTTCGCCTGTATTTTAAAAGTGCTAGTGTATAGTGAGCCACAAATCATAGGCTCTTTTTTTGGACAGACCAGACAATGCAAATATGAATGAATGACATTTTATGTTCCATGTTTACCAACTGATTTTTTTCAGAAATAACTCTTTTAGTAAATTTTCAAAGTAAAAGACATTTGAATTAAGACTGTAGAAGGTACATGACTGTACTGTTATCTCTTTAAAACTCCTGAAAACTGACATTCCGAGTAGCATTGCTGCTAATAGAACAGTTTTTCCATCTTAGTCTTTAAAATATATTCATTTTGTTATATGAATTTACTTATTTTTCTTCATTTTGAGAATCACATTATTAATAAGCATGATTTTTATAAAAATGAAGTGAGCTAGCCAGTGTTGCTCAGTGGTTGAGCTTTGACCCATGAATCAAAGCCCATGCCCGGGTTGCAGGCTTGATCCCCAGCAGGAGGAGTATAGAAAGCAGCCAGTCAATGTTTCTCTCATTGATGTTTTCATCTCTCTGTCCTCCTTTCCTCTCTCTCTGAAATCAGTAAGAACATTTTTTTTTAAGTGAATTGAAACCATCAGGTATATTGGCAAGGAGATGGGGAAGGTTGAGAAGTATGTTTACATGTATTATCTAATTTGATCTTCAAAATAAGGATCAAGTATGTATTTATATTTCTTTTAGATAAGGAATCTGAACTCAGAGAAATCAGTAGATTTGCATGTGATTTGCAGGTGATAATATCACTACTAGTGAACATTTATTGAATGCTTACTCTGTGCCAGCCACTATTCTAAATGCTTTATCCTATGTAGCCTTTCAAGTATGTGCTCTTATTTACCTCATTTTATTATAGATGTTTGATAATTTCAGAGCTGGTTTAGGTTTAAGTACATGGTTTCTAATGATTTTAAATACTGGATATTTTAATATCTCCTTAGTATTAAAAATGTTTCATGCTTGTCACTACTCAAATGTAACTCAAAGAGTATTTCATTGTCACAAACTATTAAACTATTCCTTCTTAGTTCCCATGTAGAATTTTTCATCAATGACTGGGTTTTTTTTCTTCCTTGAGTAATGGCATTTCAGTTTGTGCCTTTTATTTTTATTTCCTATTACCAATATAATTCATACTCCATCTTATATTTATTACTTTGAAGTCATTTCAACAGATTCTTTCTCCATCTGTTCTTTAAACAAAAGATTGTAGTTCCTTTTAGTTTATAATCCAGTTTACACAGAAGTCACTACTAAAGAAACTAAGAATAAGACTAGTAGTAAATGACCTCAGTTTTGGATACATATTAAAATGACATATCTGAGAATGTAAAAAATGGCTTATCAGAAAGAGGTAAAGAGGTCAGCTTGTAATATAAAGCAGAAAACCTCGGGAGGATTAACCTGTGTTTCATTATGCCTAGAACACTTTTACTGCTTCCATTGGTGAGATTCTACATGATTTCCTTATAGCTCTCCAATAAGAAAAGGATGATAATGATAATTTTTTTCTTCTCTATGAAGGGAGCTAAGAATGCAAACACTCCCTTCCATTCTCCTTTTAGCTTTGAGAAGACCAGAAATTAGTGGATAATTCCTTACTGTTAGGGAAAATTGTTTATCAGAAGTACTATAGAAAGGACTTCCTTTGTGAAAGAAGTCAAAGGTTCTTACAAGCAAATCCAAGAGTGGCTCTGAGGCGAGGCTATTCTAAGTTTTAGAGAGTCAGTTAAATTAAAACCTGGGAGTATTAGAGACAAAATTAATTATTTGAAAAGAGCATCAAGTTCCTTTAGTAAAAACAAAAAGTTAGAAATGATAAGGGTGAAGTGATTGTGGTAAAAAAGACCTGATAATTCAGATTGCTTTATATTATTTAATAATATGTTTTACCAACTTGACACAGTTTAACAATTTAATCAAGATATTTATCTTTGATATAGGTGGAAAATTTATATTCATAAATTTGAATGGATTTGAAGCTGAAGAACCTTTGATTCTCAGGAGAGGTATAGCTAAGTAGTTATATATACCATATAGTTTTGGCTATGGTTACCACTTGTTTATCATGTTAAGAGCTTTTTACATGTATAAAATAAGTGAGTATTCTCATTTTACACTTACATAAATTGGGGTACAGAGTTCAGTACACATAGTCAGTGGTAGAATAGAGATTCTAACCTAGACAGTCAACTCTAACAGCCTGCATTTTCAACTGTACTGCCTGCCTATGAGTGATAAAGCCATATCCATATTATGGAAACAACTTTTTGAGGGATGAATACTTGGAAGTATTAAAATCAAGAAGTGATAGCTTTGTCACATCAGTAAAACACCATGTTTCATCTGTTATTCATATGAGGAACCCATAGAATTTTCTGGGTCTCCTTGGTTTAACATTCTAGTCTTAGTAGTTTCACTTCTAACTAATGTATCTCTACTTTCATACAAATAGTGGTCCCATTTTCTGCAAATTATTTACTTATTCCAGCCTTATAGGGCTTTATACATCATTCATAATATTTCAAATACATTTTACTAATTCCTGACTTTCACTTCAAAACCTAACTCAAAATCAATCTCTGTAAAATCATCCCTAATAATCCCACCCTTTAAAATATATAACAACTTTATTGTGATATAATTCTCATATTGTACAATTCACCCACTTAACGTGTACAATTCACAGGGTTTGGGTATGTTCACAGAGTCATGCAGTAATCACCACAATCAATTTTTATCATCCCTAAGATATACTCCTACCTATTAGCAGTCCCCCAATTTCTCCCCAACTTCCCCCTGCTCTAGTCTAAGCGGCTACTAATCTACGTTCTATTCTATAAGTGTGCCTGTTCTCGGTATTTCATATAAATGGAACATATAATATGTGTGATTTTTGTGTTTGGCTTCATTCACATAACATAATGTTTTTTAGGTTCATCCATGTTGTTGTATATATCAATACTTCATTTCTTTTTATTGCCAAACATTTCATTGTCCAGACAGACCACATTGAATTTATCCCTTCATCAGTTAATGGACCTTAGGTTGTTTACCTTTTTTGGCTGTGAACATTTGTGTACAAGTTTTTATGTGGCCACAATTTTCATTTCTCTTGGTTATATATTTAGAAGTGGAATTGTTGGGTCCCTATGTTTAATTTTTTGAGGAGCTGATAGACTCTTTTCCAAAGTGGCTACACCTTTTTCGCTGCCACCGGCAGTATATGAGGGTTCTGATTTCTGTACATTCTTGTCAGCATGTTATTGTCTATCTTTTTTTATTGTAGCCATCTTAGTGGGTGTATAGTAGTATCTCATTGCTGTTTTGAATTGCATTTCCCTAATGGCTAATGATGTTGCACATCTTTTCATATATCCCATTTGCATATCTTTGGCAAAAATGTCTGGATCCTTTGCCCATTTTTAAATTTGGTTATCTTTGTAGTACTGCGTTTTAAGAGTTCTTTACGTATTCTAGATACAAATTTGTTATCTAATAGATGATTTGTAAGGTTTCCTTCCTTTCTGTGAGTTTTTTTTTCACTTTCACAATCTCACTTGGCTTCCTTCTTAAGTTCCTTATTTGTACCTTACTTCAGATGTAAAAATAGGTCGTAAAAATGAGTTCTTGCTAACTGATTAATGTACAAAGCAGAAAATAGGTTGGACATGCTTGAAATCTAAAAATTAAGATGTAAAGGAATGATTGACCAAGCCATTTGTTTATTTAAAAGAACTTCATAGATTTTTTTTGGCTAAGTTTTACTGAAACAATGAAATTCTGAGTTTTAGTCAGTGGTACTTAATAAATTTTCAGTGAAATATTTGGTAAAATATTAGCTACTAACAATGTATCTTTTATTAAAAAATGGTTTTATGCTTTTGCTACTCAAATGTAATTTACTCAGTATTTGAGAGTAATCATAGAGTGATTAGACAAATTAACATCCAAAATTGTTTATGCCATTAGTTTTGCACAAGATAGTTACACATACTGTTATGAGATTAAGTGTAATACATTGTTTTAGGGTGATATTTTTGTGTATCTTTTTTGTTGTAAAAAGAATGACTGCTTTATGCCTACTTTGCAGAGAGAAAGGTTGGGTTTTTTAAAAAATAACAATGTTCTCAGATGTCTTATGTAGCAGAATTTTTGCTGATACATCTCCTAGGGCAAGAGAAATAAAAGAAAAAAAAATGGGACTACATCGAACTAAAAAACTTCTGCACAGCAAAAGACACCATCATGAAAATAAAAAGGGAACCCACTGTATGGAAGAACATATTTTCCAATGATACATCTGTTAAGGGACTAATTTCCAAAATATATAAAGAACTTATACAACTCAACAAAAAGAAGACAAATAATCCAATTAAAAATGGGCAAAGGACCTGAATAAACACTCCTCCAAAGAGGACATACAGTGGCCAATAGATACATTAAAAAATGCTCAATGTTGCCGAACCGGTTTGGCTCAGTGGATAGAGCGTCGGCTGCGGACTCAAGGGTCCCAGGTTCGATTCCGGTCAAGGGCATGTACCTTGGTTGCGGGCACATCCCTACTGGGGGCTGTGCAGGAGGCAGCTGATCGATCTCTCTCATCGATGTTTCTAACTCTCTATCCCTCTCCCTTCTTCTCTGTAAAAATTCAATAAAATATATTTTAAAAAAAATGCTCAATGTCACTGGTCATCAGAGAGATGCAAATTAAAGCTACAATGAGGTATTATCCCACACCTGCCAGAATGGCTGCCATCATTAAATCAATAAACAACGAGTGCTGGTGAGAATGTGGAGAAAAGGGAGCCCTAGTATATTGCTGGTGGGAATATAGACTGTTGCAGCCACTATGGAACACAGTATGGAGTTTCCTCAAAAAATTAAAAATGGAACTGCCATTTGACCCAGTGATTGATTCCACTTGTGAGAATATATGCTAAGAATCCCAAAACACCAGTTAGAAAGAATATATGCACCCCTATGTGCATAGCAGAGTTATTTACAGTAGCCAAGATCTGGAAACAGCCCAAGTGCCCATCAGTAAATGTGTGGATAAAAAATCTGTGGTACATTTAAATACACAGTGGAATACTATGTGGCTGTAAAAATAAAGGATCTCTTACCCTCTGCAATGGCATGGATGGATTTGGTGATTATGATGCTAAGCGAAGTAAACCAATCAGAGAAAGACAAATATCACATGATCTCACTTATATGTGGAATCTAATGAACAAAATAGATCCAGAGGCATGGGTGCATGAAACAGACTGACAGATCTCAGAGGGGAGGGAGGGGAGGGAAATGGAAAGAGATTAACCAAAGAACTTATATGCATATATGCGTGACCTATGGACACAGAAAATAGTGTGGTGAAGACCTGGGGTGGGGTGGGATTTGGGGGAGGGGGTCAAAGGGGGAAGTGGGGGATATCTATAACACTTGTTAACAAAAAATAAATTAAAAAACTGTTATATTATGTCAATAGTAGGCAATTAAGCATTAGGAACGTCTTATCTGAAAGTTGTCAGCATGAGCATCCTATATAATAAAGGGGTGATATGCAAATTGACCGTCACTCCAACACACAAGAGGGCCACCCCCTTGTGGACACAAGGTGGCCGCCACAAGATGGCCTGCAGGGGAGGGCAGTTGGGGGTAACCAGGCCAGCAGGGGGGGCAGTTAGGGGCAATCAGGCCTGCAGGGGAGCAGTTAGTTGTCGATCAGGCTGGCAGGGGAGTGGTTAGGGGGTGATCAGGCTGGCAGGCAGAAGTGGTTAGGGGCAATCAGGCAGGCAGGCAGGCGAGTGGTTGGGAGCCGGCAGTCCCAGATTGTGAGAGGGATCCCAGATTGGAGAGGGTGCAGGCTGCACTGAGGGACACCCCCCCCCCCTCCCCCGTGTACGAATTTTGTCACTGGGCTTCTAGTAAACTAATAAAAAAAAAGGGAGCTATACATTCACATTCACCAGTGCTGCGGTTTCCTAAATCCTGCTATTGGGATTATTCATTTCCCTGTACTACTATTAAATTTCTTTATATCTAGGACTATTTCTGACTCATTTATTTGTTCCTATATATCTTTCCTTAATTTGCTTCTACTATATATAAAAACACTAAGCAACTTTTGAAACTCCTATCTTTCTCCCACCACTACTGTCCCTCACCAAAAAACAAACACCACCATAATCCGGACTTTTTAGTTCTGCATTTGAAGACTGTTTTAAAATTAACTAGATTTATTTGGATTACTAAAGTTGGCCTAGCCCAGTGGTCGGCAAACTCATTAGTCAACAGAGCCAAATATCAACAGTACAACGATTGAAATTTCTTTTGAGAGCCAAATTTTTTAAACTTAAACTATATAGGTAGGTACATTGTTATTAACTTAATTAGGGTGCTCCTAAGGCTTAGGAAGAGCCACACTCAAGGGGCCAAAGAGCCGCATGTGGCTCACCAGCCGCAGTTTGCCAACCATGGGCCTAGCCTCTCTGGAGCCATTGAAAATCATTCTGTACAGGCCATAATACAAATTGTCTTTCTTGATGCCTTCAGAATATTTAGCACCATACATTTTAAAGTAGTCATAACATAACTTTATGTAAGCTTTTATTAATCATTTCACATATATTTGATCTTCCCAACAGTCCTGTGGAATATTCCCAGTAGTCTTCATGAAATGTAAATCAGATCATAGCTCTTTCCTTCTAAAAATCTTTCAGTGGCCTTTCATTGCATTTAGGATAAAATCCTTATCATTATCTTAAAGGCATTATATAGTCTGGCCTCAGACCTTTTCTCTAGACTTATCTAGCATTTCTCTCCTTGTCATAAACTCCAACCTCATTTAGTAAGTTGCTCTTACATACGAAACTAACAAAGTTGTTCTTGTCCTAACACATGCTATTCCTTCAGTGTAGATAACAGTTTTTTCTTACTCTCCCTGAAATAACTTCTATTCATATGCTAAAATGGTATTTCCTCAAAGAGACTTTCCTTTATTCTAAAT